TATTCACAAGAAGTTTTTTTATTTTTTTACTAATAAAGTTTTAATACTTTTTATAAAACAATTTGAAATCTGATTTCAAGAGTCATTTCTATCTTTTCTTTATTGTTTATAAACCTTTTTATTCAAAAATGTAACTTTCAATAATCTAGAAAAGTTATGTAAAGTTATGTAATACCTTTGATATCAATAACAAATAAGTTCTCAAAGGAAGAAAAACTGATTGTTAAGTATTTAAAGACCCTTCTAACCTTTGAAGTAAGAGGTTTACAAAGGTTTTATTATAGTTAAAAGGCTTACTTTCTGCTTTTTTGAATTGTTTTAGCTCTCTTAGAGCTTCCACGTTTATAGTTTTTTGGTAAATTTTATCTATTCTAGTTTGACCTTGAATTTTTAGTAATATAAATTCTTATCAAAAGTGATTGGCTTATAAAACATATTAATTTTTAGATTATAAATAAGTTTCTATTGGTTATATTCACATATTTTAATGATATTATTAATGATTGAAAAAAATATTTTGGAAATATTTGCTTCTAAAAAGCTCAAATTCCTTAATAAAGACTTTCATAATATTAAAAGACTAAATAATAAGTAATATGGATTGCAAATTTCTATTTCTTGTTTAAGTTTTTTAGATAGTGACAAAGTTTTAATAGAAAAAGCTAAAGTTTAAATGTTTTTCTTGAGATATCCTAATCCAATACTTACTTAAATAAAGGACTAATTAGATTGACTTGTTCAATATTATAGATAGTAAAAAAGAAGATTTCTTTCAAGGTTCAAGAAAAGTAAAAAAACTATCCTAATTAAATAGATTCCTTTTGAGAAAATGGTATTTTTATTTTTGGATTTTTTTGGTAGATTGTGAATAGTTTCTTTTTTTAAAATCTATTTTTTTCTTTTATTTTTTAATTTAACAATTCATTGGTTTTTGAGTCAATAAATAGTGACAAACTATTAGTAATAATCTTGATAAATAGCAGTCATTATCAATCTATTGAGGAAGCATAATATTGTTTTCAAAATCTGATTCAGAGCATTTATATATAAAGACAAGTTAGTCATTTTATAAAAGTTTGTAAACTATTGTAGATTTTATTTTAATTTGTCAATAAAGACAAGCCATTGTGGTATGATTATAGGTTAAAAAAATATACAGTATATATACAGTATATATACAATTTATTTATATATTTAAAGATAAAAATTTTTTTCAAAATTTTTTATAATATTTATTTAAATATAATAAATATCTTAATTGATTTTTATTCAATTAAAATTTTTATATATTATTTTAATTCCAACTTTATTTTTTTTTAATAGCTCTTTATTTTATTTAATTTTTTAAAGATAAATTAAATAAATTAATAAAAATTATTCTTATTTTTTAAATTCAAATTATTTTATGATTTTTTAATTGATTTTATATTTATTTCTAATTTTTTGTTATAATAAAATATTTTTAATGGTCATAATGAAGTTTTTTGTTATTTTTTTCTAATTTTTTACTCAGTTTAAATATTTTTAAAATTTAAAAAAATTTTTTTGTTTAAATTTTTTAAGATTTTAAGATTTTTAAGATTTTGAAATTTTTATTGTTTTAATTTTTTGAGATTTTATTATTTAAATACTTCGGGATCATAATATTTCGAATTTTTTGAGATTTTGTTATTTTTCATTTTGGATTTTGAGATTTTCAACTTTTTGAAATAGCAATTTTTAAATTTTTAGATAGATTTTAAAATTTTTATTTTATTTTATTTTTTCATAGTTTGATTTTTCGCAAACAACATGTAAGCTTCTGTTGACCAATCAATTTCGTCCACATAAAAATAGGTCTATTCGCTTGGTATTCTCCAAAAACAAGATCGTGGCTGTGGTATGGTTTTAAATATATAATGGATAAATAAGCTCGGCGCATGAGTCCATCTTTCGATAATAATGGGCGAAGAGCAATGGGCTATTTTGTTTGATCACGATTGTAATTTATTACGGTGTTGTTAAATTAAATTTTACCGATCAATTTACAGCGCATTCTAAAAATAAATAAATAAATAATATTGTAGATATTCGAGCCGAAGACTACAAACGAAACGTCCAAACCTTGAATGAATATAGTCAATTCCTCGAGGAGCTACCATCCCTAATAAAACTTGGATCTAAAAATAAGCTCCTGCAATGTACAAGATGTCAAAAGATATTGCACCCTTTACAAGAGGGTGATGACATTAAATGCCACGAGATGAAGTATTTTCACGAAGTAGAGAAAATTACTTCTGTGACAAATCTGCGAGACACCAGAATGGACGTTGTGATGTTAGAAAAATTATTTGAGTTGTATGTATAATTTAATGTGCTTAACAATTCCTTATGAAATTCTTGATTTACAAATATTTTTCTTGATAAAGAGTTGGTGCAAATTTTGAACTATTCCACGAGTCCATTACCAAATTTTTTGAACGATATAAGATTTACATCTGTCAACGCTGTGACAAATTATCCACCAAACCTGAACACTCTGGTTACCACAATCACCCTTTTCTCGCCCCCTTCAACCATCTATTGTTTCCCACAAACAAAAATCCATTGATACACAAAAATTCATGTCTTCTCACGAACCTATCTCAACTAAAGGGCATTGAGTTTGACCTGTTGGAACTTTTTGACATCATGAAGGATTGTGTGGATTCCATACGGCCAGCCATGATCTCTGGAAGGTGGAATATTGGTGCGCAGGAAATTTCACCAGGAAGGCGTAATTTTTATAATGGAACTTTCGGTGATACCGAATGGAAGCAGTATATCAAAATTGATGGTACTATATTTCTTTACTTTTCTTTCTTTTTTCTTCGAGACTAATCTAAGATGCATCAAATATAGAATTCCATAGGAGTCACGAACCACTCGAAATATATGCTCAGTTTTTATTCGACCTGCCACAACAACTTCACAATTTACCTTTGTCCAAATGCATCAATTGCAACATCGTTTTCACGGACCCTAAGAAATTCTCGATAGGCCCGTGCAACCAAACAAATCTGTGGATAGATAAATGTAATTACTTGCCAATAATGTCTCACAAACCAAAAATAATTGGAAGAACAGATATTTTTATAAACTCAAAAATTAGTTTGAACTCTTTGAGAAACCTTTTTTCCGGGAAACATAGCATGTACGCAATTTTAATTTCTTTTTGTGAATTTGAAAAGCAATAGTATTTATATTATATTATTCTTTTGTCTGCATGTATGATACAGAAAATCTAGTCATCTGAACAAATTTATGCACGGAGTTCTTGGTTTTTCCTATTTCGTTAAACATTGCGAAATATTCTTATGCATCAGATGTGGTTCGTTCTCGGCGTTAAAACATGGCGGAAGTTTATGTAGAAAGCCATATCATGATCACATATTTCAACGAATTGTAGATGTTTACCAATTCTACGACGAACTCATTAATCTGTTCGAGTTCCAGTATGTCATGCAATTGGCATTAGACACAACCTATCCAGATAAACCGGTTTATAAGAAAGAAAACGGATCGTATTAGAAAAAAAGAATTTTGTATTTACTGTATACCATGTGATATTGTTGACATAGAGGTTATATCAGGTAGTGCCTTATTATAAGTATTAAAAAATATGTATATAGTATTTTGAATTAGAAAATAGAATAGATAATTACGTATATATTTCAAAATTTTTTTAGAATTATTGGAAAAAACGACTGTAAATACGGTATATTGGATTGACAAAAAGTTAGACCAGTTAAAGCATTATTAAAAATCCTTTTTTAACGGGGAAAAAGGTCATTATGATTATTTTTTAACATCAAACTATTATTTTATTACTTTTATTTTTTATACATTAATAACTGTACATCTAAAATAGTGGTACAATGTATTATTAATTAAACTTTGAATGCTTGCCTAAATAGTTGGAATGGAATCCAAGTTGCTATACTAATTAAAAAGAACACCTATTATAATGGCATTGGAATTAACTAAAGTAATGCTTTGTTTATTGTAAAAATTGTTATAATTGCATTTATAAAAAACAATATTTCTCAACCAATGAATCTATAGCATAGGTAATAGGGTTCCAGAATTTCAAAATGAAGATCACTAGTTCAACTGAAAGCCTTAAAAACTATCTTTATAGATTATTGGGAAATAATATAATTATGTTATTTCCATCAAGAAAATATATTATTAATATTAAGCTCTATATTTGATAAAAGTTGTACTAAATTTGAACAAATATCTATGATTTAAAATGATATTTTGTTTTCATCAAAATATATAAATTATAACAACTTCATTAAATTAATAGAAATTCTATTATCGATAGACTTACATAAAAAAAAAAAAATAATAATGATAATAATTTTAAATTTTATGTTTTATCAGGTAGATTCTTATACATTAAATAAAAATTCAAAATAATCAATACACAAGTAATCTAAAACATATCAAACACTAATAATCAATAGCTGTTCATCAAAACACTAAATTTAAAAATAAGATACAGTATAAATTAAAATGAAAGTCAAAAATTCAGATATTGAGCTTAAATGAGATAATAAAAAGTTAATTAAAATTTATAATACTTTCAGCGCATGTGGATTTCATTGTGTAGATTACGTTTTTTGATAGAAAAAGAGATATAATAAGTGAAATAAAAAGTTTTAACTTTTTACGTTTAAAAAGGTTTCGGATTTTTTGAAACCCCTGCGTGTATCGAATTTTCTTTCATCAAGTAAACCGGGATCCGGAAAATTTTTGATGATCATAACTATTTTCAATTTTGTACACAGCTTCTTTTATCGAGAGTTGACCGTACTTGTACGCTGAATCTTTGATTATTACTAATTAAGTAATGGGTTCGGGTGAAATGTAACTGATCTCCGAGTGGTTTACACGTATGTGTGAGGCAGACAATTTTTATGGTGCGTGGTACAGAAATAACAACTGCCCGCTTGATCCTAAAAAATCGGTTTCCGATGGGAAGAGAAGAAAGGACAATTGAGAGCGAAAAGGAAGAAACTGTCGAGTATACTGATGATGCTATTAAGTGCAAAGAGAAAGAGGATACTATCGAGAGTATTAATAGATTGGTTCAAAACGTCACAAATTTTAATTATAAAGATTTCGAAATCATCGGAAATATTGGCGATGAACTAAAACATGCCAAACATAAGATATACAAAAAATTGGTCTACTTGAAACCATTGCAAATTAAAAATATGCGAGCATCAAAGGCCTTTCTTAATGGGGTATTGTTTCATTCCTGAAATTTACCATGATTTATGCGTTCAGTTGAAAAACTAATTTCTCGTTGCCTTGAATTACAAAGGATATGATTTTTCATGATCATATTATTAAATTTTACGGAGTTTGCAAATGTAACCTTAATTACATTATCTTAAATGCACCATTAAAACCTCGAGTTAACCAATACATTCTTTTCACGAAAAGCTTTCCCAAATGAAGAGTACATAATAATAATGGAATATGCCGACGGTGGTACCTTGAGACAATACTTGATGGAACACCACATGCCACAAAATTGGAATGAAAAGATACGATTTTCTAGGCAAGTTGCAAGTGCGATAATGTATTTACACGATCATGATATAGTCCATCGTGATATAGTAAGTTTGTTTCGGATATTCCTTTCATCACACAACTACCAAATATATTAAATTTGGTTTCTTTAATTTATAAGCACCCAAACAACATTCTAGTCCATCAATGCAACATAAAACTTCTTATTGGATTCTGCACGAATGAAAAAAGATCACCTTCTTACCTGGCCCCAGAATTTTTTAATTCACATGAATACGATTTTAATTGGACCAAAAAGAGTGACATTTACAGCTTGGGTGTTTTATTTTGGGAGATTTCATCAGGAATTCCGCCGTTCAATTCGCATAAGGATGCGAATTTGACCTTTAAAATTTCAATGGGTCATAGGGAAACTGCCGCTTCGGAAACACCCCCCCTGTACAATAACTTGTATTCTGGTAAGGACTGCATATGGTAGTTGTGTTTATTTGATTTTACTATGCAGTACTTAAGAAGTCTCTATTTATGAAATAAGACTGTTGGAAAGGTGATCCGGAAGGACGCCCGGCTATAAATAATGTCGTACAAATTCTCGAGTCTTTAGACAGCAAGAATATCGATATCCAGCACAATGTCGAACCAAGTAAATCAAATGTTGAAACTGTTGATTATAAAAAATTGAATTCGATCAAAAAGGTTGATTGGCTTCAAGGGGCGATCGATGAAGGTTTCATTAATTTTTTTAAGTACGATTTATTCAAGAATCCCGAGATCATTGCAAAAGGAGCATTTGGTATCATAAGTAAAGCATACTATGCTAAAGGAAACATAAACGTTGTCCTAAAATCTCTTCATAATGCCAACTGTAAATCCGATGAATTTCAAGAAAATTTTATAAGAGAGGCAAGCGCTTTTCCATTTAATGCTATCTTTTATAACTATTTTGTTTGTTTTAATCCCTTATTTTGTAAACTAATCATGTCAGGTCAAGAACATAAGCTCTATTAAAGATAACGAAAACGTCAATAAACTTTTGGGCATTACTCAGTGTAAGTAAAATTGGATATTTGGTACAATTGTATTTTAATTTTCGCTACAAAGTTAATACATACGTACTACATACGTACTGTACAGTTCAATTCGATGGCACATACATCCTGGTTTTCGAATTTGCCGAAGGTGGAACTTTGCGGAATTACTTAAATCAACATACTAATCTCGAATGGATGGATATAATAAAAATGGCGAAAGAAATTTCAAATGGACTTAGGGCGATTCATAAAGCAAACATTGTTCATAGGGATCTGGTAAAGTTTCATTATTTCAAGATTAAGAGACATTGGATTTTTATTACACAATTATCCTTATGAAATTCAATTGATTAGCATCCGAAAAACATATTGCGCAAGGGTGATAGATTGGTGATCATTGATTTCGGTCTGGCAAAGTCATATGAGTCGGACTCTGATTCCCTTATGGGTGGTGTTGTTGCATATACGGATCCTAAATTCTTTGATGATAACAAGTACAAACGAGGAAAATCCTCTGATATTTACAGTTTGGGTATATTACTATGGGAACTTACTAGTAAAATGTCTCCATTTGATGGCATCAATATTTCTGATGTGGCCAACAGAGTTCGAAAAAACATTCGTCCTGCTCCGATTATCGGCACTCCATTTGATTACTTGGACATATACATCAGAGCTTGGCATGAAAACCCCAATGAACGTCCTGATATCGAGGAAGTCTGTCGATTACTTGATAATGTCAAATTTGAGCGTCGGTTAGATGAGACATACATTGATAAAAAATTTAATCAAATATACATAAACGAATCAAATGGGATGTCGGCTGAAAATTCTAATTATATAGAAAATTTATCTGACGCTGTTGAATTTTCGGACTCAATTAGTAAGTTGGGCAGTCCTTTTCTTATTTGTTCTTATGGCTGATTCGCTGTGGTGCTTTATTCATTAGACGACGTGGTGCTCAATACATTTCAGCAGTATATGCCAAAGGATGATACGAATTCAATCAAAGTATGTCAAGCAAATTATTAAAAATTTGATATATTTTATTTAATTAAGATTTATAATTTTTTAGGCTTTAAATAATTGTCAGGTAGCAATTTCGTCTGTTAACAAACTCCATTACGACGGAAACTATAGTGATGTCGTAGCGAGCTCCATTGGATCCAATTGTTTTGCTCACTATCATATTCTTTGTGATGATATCGAGGGACTTAAGTGGCATCTTGATAATGGATCGGATGTGAACAAAACATATGGTCTGGAAAAACGTTTTCAAGGAACACTGATCGATTTCACCTTAAAATATTGTCATAATTGGGATGCCCTTGTTCTTATTTTTGGAATGTTGAAATCATACGGGGCGAGCGACAGATGCATTTATTCGAACATGCAGTTATTGTGTCATAATCACATTATTGCTCCCAAAGATCACTCGGGCTTTAAGAAATTCATAATTTGGCTAATTAAGAACAGCGGTGACGTCAACTCGAAAAATCACAAAAATAGCTATTCTCTATATTTTTTGCTAAAAACGTTGACTTCTCTTTTAGATGAAAGTATGATTCTAGAAATCATATCATTGTATTTGGAAAATGAGTTCGATCCTAATAATCCTTATGATTATAAGCGACCAAATTTACTATTCTTAGTAATCAAAGAAAAGTATTCTCCAGATATTTTTGAAATTATTTTTAGATATAATATTAATTTAACGGTTAAAAATAATAATGGATTGGATGCGCTCGGATATGCGTCTAGGAAGAAAAATATCGAAGCCGTAAAATATCTCATAAATACAGGGAAATTCACCGAAGCGCAATGTGTTTTAAAGGCGCATGAACAATCGGGATACTTTAGTAAAGAGAGAAAATACCTAGGAGGGTGGCTAGAAGTAAAAGGAATTAGATAAAAGTTAAATTAAATTTATTTTATGAAGTTTTTAAACAACACGGTTTCTTTAATACGTAACATTGCACTTGTCAAATTTTATTTGTCATAAAGCAAATAAAGCTGTTTCTAAAAAGAATAATATATTTCAGTTTAATTCTTGAAATGGACCAATTGATCAGAAACCGAGACTGCCAAATAAGATTTATATATAATTGTATAATTTTGAATGATTTTTCAAAAATAAATAAATAAATAAAAATTTTTTAAAAAAAAGGTAGTCAAAAATCATGCAATATTAAATTTTTGAATAAAAATTTTTTATTAATTATATCGTTATTTTATTATATACTGTACAGTAGGCACCAAAATTGATGCACGATTTAGCCGTAAAATCACAAGGGCAAATAAAAGCACCACGTTTACCCCCATTTTGATATTTTTAGGGTTTCACTTTTTTTTTGTTTACTCCTTCGACCATCAGCTAAACACGAGGAAAAAAAAAAATTATTGATTCAATATGGCATGCTCCCGTACTGAACTAACTATTGCAGACAAAGGAAAAATCCTTGCGTATATTGAAAACATGAATGCTGAACAAGTTGCAAAAAAAAATAAGACATTCCCCCTCAACAATAAGAAGGTTTATTGCCAGATATCAGAAGATCAAGAAAATAGAAAATCCTTGGTGTTCCGGAAGAAAAACTATTCTCTCTAATGAAAAAAAAGAAGCACTTGTGCAAGAAATCCTCAAGAAATGTCGCGAGCCATTAAAAGACATTATTAATGGTTTAAAGCTTAATTGCAGCTTAACAACTGCTGCCAGAGTGTTGCACGATGTAGGAATTTATTCCCATGTAGCAGTAAAAAAGCCATTTATATCAGAGGCTATTACAATTGCATAAAAAGAGTGGTGCGAAAAAAACAAGACTAAAGATGTGTATGGTTGGCAACGTGTCATTTTTTCGGATGAAATTAGTGTAGAAATTGGAAAGCAGTCCCGCCAAATCAGAGTATGGTATCACAATGGTGAGAGATATAATTCTGAATGCTTGGCACCAACTTTTAAAAGTGGTAGATGTTCATTAATGATCTGGGGATGTTTTGTGGGGGAGACAAAAGGTCCATTAGTATTTTTTGATGAATATAAAGGAAAAAAAGGAAAAAATCAAGGCAGAAACTTATTTAAAGGTTTTAGAAGATAAATTCATACTATTTTTTGATGCAGCACGTCTATTATTGAGTCCTCATTTAGTGTTTCAGTATGACAATGCACCGATCCACACAGCAAAGAGTGTTGCAAATTGATTCGCAAGAGAAAAAATTAAATCGATGGTTTGACCAGCTTCATCCCCTGACCTTAACCCCATAGAAAACATTTGGAAGCTATTGAAGGACAATATCCAAAAATGTGAAGATTTTCCACATACTATGGACGAGCTCAAAACTACTCTGAAAGAAGAGTGGTCAAAATTTAATGTGTCAACTTTGCGAAATGTTGTAGATTCAATGCCACGAAGAATCAACGCAGTATTGAATGCAAATGGAGGGGTGACCAAATACTAACGAATGGGCCAATAAAATTTTTTTGTACATAAAAAAAAATTTTTTATTTTTGTATGTATATGTAAATTTTCGGTTTTTTATAAAATCGTGCATCAATTTTGGTGCCTACTGTACATTAATTCATCATATCGTACACTATCTATATTATAAATTTCATTAAAATTTCAACAATTAAAGATCGACGAACAGGTGTTGAGTTCTTTTTTGGTGGGCACTGTAATCAGTACTATCATGAACCAGGTGCTAAGGACTTCCTAGGGCAAGATCTGTACGAAAATTCGGGTTGCGGTTGAGATAAATACGACGCTGATATAAAGTGCACACACTTTCTCGAAATGCCCGGATTTAATGTTCGTCGTGATTTATATAACTAAGTTGTATATTCTTACGAGGCCTTGAGCTCACTCAGGTTAAAAATATCTGGCCTTGGTAGTAAATACGACACGTCTATGAATGCGCTAAGGAGCTGCTATTCAATACAAACAAAAGTTCCATCGAGCGCATTCATGAAATAATCAAATATAGTAAACGACTATAGAGAAGTAGCCTTAATTTCTTATCTATCTTATTTAATTCATACTATGCGCCAGAGGCATGAAGTTGAGCACCATTTTAGGTGCCGAAGCGTGAAAGAGAGTTATTAATCACTGTGATTTGATGTGGAGTAAAGATAAACGTAATTCACCTGGGGCTAATGCCTTTCTCCCCCCAAAAATGTAGGAACGAAACAGCTCAGTGATTGGCGGGATTATATTATACATCCTAATATACTGTATTATAATGGCCTATTTTTTCTCGCTCAATAAAATAATTTTGCCAAATAAAGAAACCGATACATTAAAGAAAAATAAGAAATTGCTTGAAAAAATCAAGCTTTTATCTAATTGTTAACTCTACGTGCCTGATCCATTCGACATGAGAACAGCTCTGAAGAAAAGGGTCGGTGTACATTTAGTTATCTAGATAAGCAAAATAAAATTTAAGCGCATAATCAATCACGTGAGTTGATAATGGTGACTTGCAATTGATGATCGGAACATCATGTACGTAATACGTACGTACATAACTTTATTGGTGCAACCAACACGGCGCATATTCACGTGATTGGTTCACAAAGTATTTAAATGCCTACGAACGACTTTAGGGATCGCCAAACCTTTTTAACAATGAATAATAATATATTAATAAGATTAATACATGATTGGAATATCAAAGTGTTCGATTATGAATCTTTCAATAATATTCAACATATTGCATACGGGGCATTTAGCAAAGTGAATCGTGCGGAATATGTGAATAAACAGAACGTGGTCGTTATGAAGTCTTTCAAAAATACGGAGACATCGATGTTATATAACGAGGTAAACAACGGAGATATGTTCAATAGTTGCGCTTTATCTGATTAATGTGTGATCCATATTATTTTTTAGTTAAAATTGAGAGTAGATATAAATTTCCACGAAAACATTATAAAGTTCTATGGAATTTGCAAGAAAGGTGGCTAATTATGATGTTCTAAGTCATGTATTTATTTTTATTTATTTAACTAATATTTAAATTATATACTCAAACATCAATTTTTATTATTCTTGTCATATCTGTCAAAAAATGTGACGTTAAGAAAACGAGTACATATTGATATTAGAATATGCAGACAGTGGTAACTTGAAGCAATATTTGAAATTAAATTACTGTTCGCTGAACTGGCATGCAAAATTGAAGCTCGCTAAGGAAATCACCAGCGGGATATCATATTTGCACAAAAATGATATTGTTCACCGTGATTTGGTGAGCTCCGTTTAAAAATACCTCCTTTTTTTTAATATTTTATACTAATTTAAATACACTAAACTAAAATTTTATAGCATCCTGGAAATATTCTGGTTCATCAAAATATTATTAAGCTTTCTGATTTTGGGCTATCCAAAAAATCTCAAGATTTTGAAAAATCTGCTTCAGTCTCTTTCTTCGGTGTCATTCCATATATCGATCCACAATGTTTTAAAACTAGCAATATGTACCGTATAGGAAAAGAATCAGATATATATAGTTTGGGAGTTTTATTCTGGGAAATATCGTCCGGGAAATCCCCATATAAATCGGAAAATTATTCCGTGTTGCCACTAAAAATTTCAATGGGCTATAGAGAAAAAATAGTCTATCGAACACCGGTCAAGTATTCCGATTTATATTCAGGTAATTATTATTTTTACGCATTGTTTATCTTTACACGGTTAATTACCAAGTTTAATATCTATCAGCATGCTGGAGGGATGATCCAGATGAACGTCCAACTATAAGTCAAGTCACGAAATATCTTGACGAAATCATCATAGATGACCATAACGAGCTTGAAAAAATAAAAGCCGATGAATTATTTCCAGATTTCATATCCATAAATTCCGATTTTAGTCAAAACGTTATCGAAAGCATTGCTGATGAACCTGCTGTTTCCCATAACCAAAAAACTGATTGGCTTAAAGATGCAATAAGTAAGGGGTATATTAGATATTTCGAATACAGTAAATTCAAAGATTTCGAGGCTGTTGGAAGGGGAGCTTATGGTACTGTCAGAAGTGCTCGCTTTTTAAATAGTGAAACTCCCAATGTTGCCTTAAAAAGTATATTTGCTTACGGCCGAGATGGAGATGAAAAGTTCTTTGGGCGATTTGTCAGAGAGGTGTTTAACATTATCCTTAATTTTGTCATCAATTTTGGTTATTAAAAAAAAAATCAGACACGCAAAGGCTAGTTGAATTTAAGAGCTCAGTTGAAAATTATTCAGAAATTTTTACTCAGGAGGCTCTTGAAAGATCTTGATGTAGTTGCTGGTGCGCCAATAATAATTTTTTTTTTTTTAGGTTAAAAATCTAATTTCGGTCGATTATAATGAAAACATAAATAGATTTTTTGGGATTACACAAGGTAAATAAGTTTTATTTTACTCTCGTTCGAGAAATTAAAAATTTGACTTTAAACAAAAATTACAAAGAAATAGACAAAGAATATCTATTGGTTCTTGAATATGCTAACGGTGGAAATCTAAGAAGCTATTTGCAAGAAAACTTTAATAAGCTTTGTTGGGAGGACAAATTGAGAATGGCAAGAGAAATCTCAAATGGACTTTTGGCAATTCATCAAGAAAACATTATTCACCGAGACTTAGTAAGCGTAATATTTTTTACTAATTTATAGAAAGAAACGTTAATTACTCATTGAGGTTCAAATTCATTAGCATTCTAAAAATATATTGTTGCACTGTGATCGAGTAAAAATTGCAGATTTTGGCTTGTCGAAATCTTTGGATGATGAATCTTCATCTTTTATAGGCGGGGGCATTTTACCATATTCAGATCCCCAATATTTTCTTGATGCACATTATGAAGGTGGAAAAGAATCCGATATATATAGCTTAGGAATTTTATTATGGGAAATATCAAGTGGAAACCCTCCATT